GGAGGGTGGGGGGGGCGGGGTTGATGAGTTTGCCCCCTGAGACGCCGCGTGGAACGAGAGACGGCGGCCTTGGGACTCAGGCCGTCCCCGCCAATGGGGGAGTTACTCACCATGCGGCCATTTGGTAACCTCCACTCCCCTCGCCTCACCACCCCGAAGGATCCGTTCCCCAGCCGTTCGCACAGCTGCAGGTCCCTGTCGTTGATCAGACACTTCGGGGCGGCCTCAGGCTCCGCCAACGACGAAGAAGGGCCACTCGCGAAGGGAGCCTGGTCATAATAATCGCCACTCCGCACACTGAACATCTGTGAGGACAAAATGGCGGGCATGGTAACGCCGTCACTGACAAAATGGCGGGCATGGCAACGCCGTCACTGACAAAATGGCGGGCATGGCAACGCCGTCACTGACAAAATGGCGGGCATGGCAACGCCGTCACTGACAAAATGGCGGGCATGGCAACGCCGTCACTGACAAAATGGCGGCATAGCAACACCACCTCAGTGAAGATGGGGACATAGCAATCCTATCGCTGTAAAAATGGAGCATCCCAGACGGGAATACCGGGTACAATTTGCAAACGACAGGTTATTGATCTGCGTCATTTTGTGAACTTCAGGATGCTCAGCATGGCCCCTCCCCCAGCAACACAGGGGGCCAAGCTGCTCTGGGTCGCCAGCAGGCTGCTCTTCACGGGATCTTGCTGTGCGTGTGTTACCTTGCTGCGTTTCTGACCAGCCTGCGCTCTGAGCGGGCTGGGAAGTGTTCACATACAGGCTGCACGAGCCTGAGAGACGGTGGGGCTCACGGCTACGCGGTGGAGGGGGGAGGCCACTCGGCCCGCGTACTGCCACCCACGGCCTATCTCAATGCCACATCGTCGTAAAACGAAATGACACGGGGGGCCATTCAGCCCCTCGGACCTGCCCCCCCCCGCCACCTCGGTTTCCTATCTGTTCCCCGACCCCAATCTCTTTTCAACCGAGAACCTAACTCAGCCTCGACTATATTTAATGCCACCCCCCCTCACCGAGAGAAGAAATCCCTCCACCCTCGATGGGAGGACCACCCTCCACTTTGACGCTCCCACCTCGAGAGGCAAAGATTGTCCCAGAAGGCCATGGGGCTGTTGTCCCGATACAC